AATAGAAAGCGCACACCCGTGGTCTCTGTGCACGCAACTCGGATAAAAAAACGCGTGCTCCAGGAATACAATGAATACGAATATTCCGCCCCAGTGCATGCAACAATTTGACACGAACGCAATTCTGGACCAATGTGCAACGTATTCTGGATCACTATATACGTATTCCGGATGAATTTATGCAACGATTTTGCACAACCCGACCTCTGGAACAATATGCACCCGTTTTCTGGATCAATATATACACGTATTCCGGATCAATGCATGCGCGTATTCCGGATCGGTATATAGACCGAACAAGACTAATACAAATATTGATCCACACGGGACCAAATACCGATCTGGAATGGTGACAACTATTGATGGCAGAGCAACTCGGGAACCTCACAACAGCGGCGACCACCCTTTCAGAAACCAGTGCCACCTTGTATTCGAAACGTTTCTGACCTACTTATGACATGGGTGTCCCTTGACTCTGAAATGGATGTTCCGTGTTTCTGAGATAATCATAATTTTGCTGCTACAATCGAAATATGAAAGAACCGGCTTCTTCAGCGAACATGTCTCCGACTTCTGGATCTGATTCGTTTGAGGAAAGTTTCAGAACAGCCTGGAGGCGCACGGGCTGGTAGGGGAAAACCTATGAACGCCACGCGGCCATTCGAGTAAACGCAAAACGCACTTGCTAGCCACAACAAAGTATGAATTACCGCATCACAACCGCTCCTCCTTTTTAAACGGTCTGGGGTTGAACAGGGCATTTCGGAAAGAATGCGTCCTTTTTCGGGAACGGTGGCCGCCAACGCCGCGACCAAATCATCCAAAGCAATTCGACCCACCGGTGCGGGTACGCCAAGCCATACCAAGACATTGCGTAAACAGTTGGACAAATCAAGAGAATGCTTGCAATCCTGCGACGCCGAAGGACATGGAGCCAGTCCTTCCAGTTTGAGCCCATCGACGCAAGCAAGGTGGGCTCGCAGTGCATCCGACGAGCGTTCGACGTTACCAGTACAGCGTTCCATCGCCAAGCAACTGCAACTCATCAAAGGGCTGGACTGTCAGCTGGACGTCATGGGCAGTACCGATCAAGAGTGTGAGGATCACGTCCATGGTGGTTCTCATGCTCGGGAACGAAGTGCAGTACGACGCCACCGCAACTGGAGCGGCTCGAGGGCCGACGATCGAAGCAACCATACGCGGAAACGTGTGCTGAGGCGTGCTCGCCCAGCGCTGGAGCCAAGCACCGCTCGTCTACTGCTCGATGTTGTGCCAGGGATCTGAATGATGCACTAAGGGCTGTCGGTGAGTTCTATAGCATCGTAAGGGTGATGATGTAACTTTTGGTGTTGCGGAGCGAGTGGGGTGTATCCTCCATTAAGTGCCTGTCAGACGGCAGCCGAGGAGGCGTGGCGGGGATCATGCCACGCTCTTCCCAGTATAGCTTCCATGAGGATTTCCAACATTTTAGAGCTCTTTCAAAAGCGTAAGGGTCATGTGACACAACATTGGCTCAATCCCTGATGCTGGTATCTGAGGTAGCCGTTTGACGATCGGAACGAAATCTCAGTTCATCGACGACGATCAGGCATCAACGAATAATCAGAATTCCTCGTAGTTTCTCAAAGTCATTTTGAATATCAATGCTCTTGGTGATTTGCTGCTGTGATTTCTCAACATGGTCTTGTGCATATTTGGCGTCGCGTCGGAGGGAACTGTATTCCGAATTGTTTCGCCACTAGACGTCCGCCAGACATTCAAGACCTTCGGAATCTTCCATATTGAATCTTGTAATTGGTCTTTCAGGGCCCCAGATCCCGCCTTCACAGAGTTCTTTGGAGCTTTTGGGGCTCCTGGCGCGACATTTTCTGAGGCCGTGGAAGCGTGGTTTGGACTCAACCTGCCAGCGTGCTCGAACAGAGTCCCACGGGCACGTCCTGAGGCTCTCTTGGGGGCCTCTCGGGGCGTTTTGGAAGCGCTTTGCACCGGTCCAAGAAATTAAACCAATAGAGCACATCACGTTGATTTCTTTTTTTTCGCACCATCCAGTTATGGCATAAACAACGTCTAAGACGGTAGCAACGCCAATCTTCGAATAGTAATCAGCCGGTCTAAGATGTGATGAACAAAGCGACGATGGGACCGTACAAAACATGCATTCGTTCCACGTCGAGCATTGTCATTCTGAACACCCTGGCACTGGAAGTATGCGCGCGCATGCCATGCTTCACTCAACCAATACTTGAACGGCGCAACGCGACAAAACGGCACAATCTTGCGTATGCGTTTCTGCCACTGTATCTGTTTTCCACGGATCGTTTTTGTATTACCTATGTGTTTGCAATGCGAATGTACGCAAATGTATTGTTGTGTGGGGGTGTATCACCAATCTTCAGTATTTGCGGGGAACGATTGACGGGCCTGGTAACTGTACCAGCTCCGTGGTTCACTATGCCACCTCTAAGCAGCTCCGTACCGCAGACCGCTTTGAACAACGATTTCGAAGCAGCTGAAATCCAGCACCTTGTCTGCACGATGTGGGCGTCTCAGAGATCCCAAAGTGGCCCCCACTCCCGCTGGCGTCCACCCGCATGCATCGCCCCCCCTCTCACACCTCCCTCTGTCTCTCTGGAGGCATCCTGGGCGGCCGAACGCTTCTCTGGGGTGCCCGAAGAGTCCACGATGCCCAAGATGGCTTGCAAGACGGCTTAGGCAGGCCAGACATTGCGGCGTTGGCGCCTGGGCGACATTGTTCATACCTACAGGCTTCGGCAAACCAACACTGTGTATAAGCCATAGGCTACGAGCCCCACTCAATCTGATGCTAGTCAGCGCGATAGAGAGAAACAAACGCCACACCGAAACAAAAAACGCTTCACGCCCGAGCTACTGTCCCGCTTAGATTTTCTCGCCGTTCGCAAGAGTGGCGCAACACCTGTACATACTCCTCACATAGCCTGCCAAGACCAAAACAAGAACCCTGGACGTGAAATGCAAGGCAAATGCATGTGTCACGGGAACGGTGCTGGAGCAGGTGCACCAGGAAGAAAATACAAACATCCTCTTCGAGTACGACGGGCAATCTGGTAATCCTGGCACTGACAGAGCAAGCATGGCAAACCAACAACCGACTTAAGACATGTCTTTCCGAGCTCCGTGAAAAACCATGAGAACTGGCGGGTGCAAAAGGCTTACAGGAGGAGGATGAGGATGAGGAGGAAGGGGCGGACGACGAGGAGTGGAGCCAAGCTCGTGAATGCGTGGACCAACCGAGGCTTCGCCCAGGGTGCGCTCACATAGGTTTCACGTGAGCTGAAGAAGTGATAGAGGCAGACAGAAAACAATACAGGGAAACAAGAGCGAGCAGGCACTGACTAAAGGACCAAGTGGATCCGCACAAGGGGGTGCAGGGGGACGGGAAGCTCTGTGAACAAAACGCCCCTGACGCCCCCGAGGCGGAGGCCGCCGCACCCCCCCATGACGACGGGGCAGCGCGGGATGAAGAAAATACAGAAGAACATGCAATGCACACCTGTATCCAAGCGGGGGGGGACTGCGCGAGATAAAGGGAGAGAAGGGGCGAGAGAAAGAGGTATAGCACTCATGCAGCCGCACTCAGAACATGGTGCACGCGTTGATGCTGGCGTCGGGGCTGGCGTCGGAGCTGGTGTAGGTGACGGCGTTGGCGCCGGCGTGGGCGCAGGTGCTGGCTGGTGTAGGCGCTGGCGTCGACGCTGGAGCAGGCGCCAGCGTTGGGGCTGGGTTCGTCCCTGCTGTAGTGGCCGCTCGCTCCAACTGTCTCCGCCACGCTGGTGGTCAACACGTTGCCGGGGACATGGTAGAGGCGCCAGTCGTCTCTGCCAGCCTGTCGACTTCCGCGTCCCACACTACATCAATAGTCCCTGCTGTGTTGGCCCTTACAGTTGTCTCAGTCTCGCGGGTGGTCGCCTCTCCTCGTAGGGAAAGGTGGTGAGTGCACGCATTGGGTCTGGCGTCGGTGCTGGCGTAGGAACCGGCGTTGGTGCTGGCGCAGGCGCTGGCAGTGGTGCTGGCATAGGCGCAGCTATTGGCCCGCTTGGCAGGAGAGAGAATGAGGAGGAGAAGCTGCGAACGCGAGGGAGCGGGGAAGGCAAATGGGAGCCCGACCCGTGGCGGGCGATTGGCGCGGCGTGGCGACGGCTACGACCGCGTCCTCAACGGCGGGTCTTTCAGACACATTTATCGTTCGTCGCCGCTTCGCCAGACTCCAACCGAACTCGCACCCTGGATCTTCCCCGCGAGCATGGTGCTCACTAATCATTCCATCGAGCCAGGTCTAGTGGCGACGAGGCCTTCTCCTACGACTAAAAGAGGGAGAGATGCCAGCGTTAGGAGAAGCAGGTCCTGCCATCCCCCTGAAGAGGAGCGACTTTTTCCTGAGGTGAAGATTGGGTGCCGATGGTGTTGAGGGACCTTTGTGTTATTCTTGCTGCCGACGACCCGACAGGACCCCAGGACAATCTCCCCAAACAGAAATCACTAGTGTTCACATGTCCTGGAGAATTCGGAAACGTGCCAGTCACAACTTGAACAAGAACGCGGGCTGATGAACGAACACCTATGCGAGACCCGTACCCGTCTTTGGGAAAAAGGTAAATAACAAACATGAAGCAGGAAGGCGGATAAAGTAGATTGGGCTCAGGCCCTCTCAGCGAATCACGAAGCATAGCAAAACCCTGCCGGTTCTCTTGAAGCAGGAGGGCGCTTGAACTATATTGGGATCTGGGAGCCCAGAAATACCTGCTTCTAACGACCACCTTGTAATGGAGTGCAGCGAGGCACTACGTTTCGGTCGGGCATGCCCGGATTTTGCATGACCAATCGAAAATAGTCAAACAAAAATTCAAACATAGACAAACATAGTCGAAACATCGTCCCCAGACTATTCTTACATTATTTTTGAATTTTCCTCCTGTAGAGGGACACGCCCGACTTGACACCACATATGCAGAATGCGATGC